GGCCATCTCTGTAGAGGGATCATTGATGAAACAAGCCAATATTTTCCATTAAAGGTAACATAGCTACTTGTATTTGAATTGAGTAGTATTTTATATTATCCGTAGCTATTGCACAAGATCGTTAGCCAGTCTAGGGGCCGATTGAGATGGCCGACCTAGGCGAGACCGGAACCACAGTCCACTCTGGATGACACCCCCTTTTAAAAGAAAAGTTTTGTCAAAGTGAATAGCATTGTTAGGCCTATTTATCTGGCTATGGGAATATTCACTACTTTAGATGAATCGAGTTGACCCAAACGCTTACTTAAGATCTACCGATAACCTCGAAGACTCCGCCCAGGCATGTGCCTGATTCTGGAAGACCACCTGAAAACTTTCTGATGCAGTGTGGGGCTGCAAAACTGATGAAAGCGATCGCGATCAAACCAAGGACGGCGCTATTTTGATCTCCGTAATGCCCATTTTAAATATATTTGCAAAAGACGAATTCTATTGCAGACTTTTTCGTTTTTGCTTTGACGGGTGTGCGGATCACCAATCTTCTGGTAACGAGAATTCGTACTTCAAGAGTAACTTTCTCGACGAACTATGCTAATTGCTAAATTTTCAGCACTTTTTCTCACTCTTGCTTCCCATTACCTCCATCCTGGCCACATCTCCTGAAGCCAGATCGAGGCGATCAAGCTGCCTTCCATGCTGCGAGTCCAGCCCTCTCGGCACATGCGATATCAATGCTCTCTCGAGCCCAACTGCCAGGCAACGAGCAGATTCCACTTGCCCGCCAAGACGCCAACCAGAGCAGACGCTCTTCTTCGGCCCACCGAGCCACGGATCTATGTCCAAAGCGGATCCCCAGCCGGTCTGCAGACCTGGCGACCCGACCGCCTCGGGAGTCGACAACTATGCTCCCTCTCGCCATGCCAGCCCTAGCAACCGGAAACCTGATCAACGACATGGCATAACAGTTGATCGACTCGTGGGGAGGCACGGCAGCAGCCGCGGCTCGCAGAGAAAACTGCCTCGAGGCCGGTTGCTCGGGCCGATTCGGACACGATTCGTCAAATGCTCGAATCCTGCAAGTCTGACGACCAGCACGACTGCGATCCCGGCGCTACTTGGCGCTGATGCTGAGGCCGTGGCGCGTAAGACTGTTGTCGGAGGACGGGTTTCGAGATCGGCTGTGTCGCCGGCCAACGACGTCAGTCAGTCTCATCCATTGGCGGTGTTGTTTGGGCGACGGCGAGCTTTGCAATTGTGGCAGTTTCTGGTCGACCTGTTGGATGAACCTGGCAATCAACATCTGATCGTCTGGACTGAGCGGGAAGCGATGGAGTTCAAGCTTAACGAGCCGGAGTTGGTGTGTTCAAGACCGTCTCAGGCTACAGATTAAATACTTTTCAATTTATGAATTGCTTTTCGAGACTGACAGTAGATCTGATACAGGAATAGTACTCACCAAATTTCGTTGAAGATGATTGAGGTATGGCAGTTGCATTTTACAAAGACGACCGTTGACATGACCTTGCTTGCCGAGAGGTATTCTCTTCCCGGATGGACTGGCCTGCAGTATTCATTGGCACCACCCGCGAGACTCGAACCCAGTTTGTTGTGATAGTGCGACGAAAAGTCTCGAAAGGTTAACTATTACGCCAGACTTCTACGAGTGTCCTCAGGGCACAGGAAAGTAGAAAGTTTAGAAGGAAACCTGGGCCTCCTTCATCTAACAATTTTGTGATGGGATTTTTAAAGAAGCAAAGTTTTTTTTATCAAATCAATTAGCTACATTACACATTTTTCGTCAATTTAAGCTAAATAGGATGAATACCGCTCATATATAAGATGTATTGGTAGCGAAAAAAACCTGCTTATGATCGAAAAGTAATTAAGGCACTTTTCATTTTTAATTTGGTTAACGAGACTACCAGAGGATCGTTTATAGGATGTGTATACACTCTATTACTTTAAGGTGATGAAGGACTGGGAGATTAATTTTTCCGCAATGATATGAGTAGACCTTACATTTCCCTTGAATTTCACATATACATGCTTCCCAAAAGGTATTCTCCTGGTCTCATCAGCACCAACTGCGGGACTCGAGCCATGACATTGTAGCATATAACCTCGACATGTTTACCACCACGCCCCACTGCTATGAGTGCGCTTAGTTCATAGGCCAGGTGTGAATTTCAAGGCAGACTAGGCAATTTGGCATATCATCAGACCTAGGCTGCGGGGAAATTCAACTACCAGTCATTCATCGTCTTAAACGAAATAGGGAGAACACATCTTATAGTAAGTTATGCAGTCTAATGTTATAGCAAATACAACCGTAAATCAAGCCAGAGGAATGTGATATGAGAAAAGCCTAGGCTTTCTTGATAGTCCAGATTCGTGTTGGGGCTACTCGCTGCACTACCACAAACCGGGTTCGAGTCCCACTGAGGCTGCTGATGAGACCAGTACAGGCGTGGTCGAAACTGCAATTCAGCCCCGCCGTTGGGAAAGCAAGTATATGCGAAATTCAATTTATGGCATTGTGTGAAGATTGGACTAACAGTCGTTCATCGCATCAAATGATATAGAGAAAACTATAGCTCTAATATCAGAAAAGCAACTTATGAAACAGCAATTAGTTATTACTTTATTTCCTCTACTACCAGTCCTTCATCACCTTACACGAAATTGGGTGAATAGCTCTCATATTACTGATTTACTGGTAGTCTCGAAACTCTGCTCTAATGCGAAAATAAGTAACGTAGTCGTTGCTATAGCAAATATACGTTGGCTTCATCGGCACTCTCACCAAAGAATATGATATAGCAAAGAGGCCTGACCTTACTTGAAATTCACTTATGCCCTGTGACTCAAGGCTACTCGTGGCAATGTGGTCGAGTGGTTAACGTGTCAAGCTCCCATTCGGCACTGTCGCGGTTTGACTCCCGCTTGGGGTGTTAATAAAACCGGTTGATGTTAGGTCGAAACTGTAGTCCACTTCAGCCTGGATGAGAACGACTTTTGGCAAAGCAAAGCTATATGAAATTCAAAGGAAACGTCAGCTCAACTCATATCATTGTGGGAAAATTCTTCTTCTACCAGTCCTTCATCACCTTAGACGAAATAGGGTTAATACATCTCATTACACTGATTTACTGGTAGTCTCGAAACTCTACTTTAATACGAAAATAGTTATTACTTGTTTCCTCAATTTATGGACAGACAGATGGGCCAAATAAGTAGAGGGGGGACAGAAGAAACGATTTATCTTGAGGGCAGACATGTTAGAAGCAGTTTCGATTATGGATAAATGAGTTTATGTAGAAGAAATGATGCAAAGGTGCTTTTCAAAGCGATTTTTAAATATATATGAATGTGATAAAGGAACATATAAAACACAAATTTTTAGACTTTTATGTTGCCTACAGCAGGGTGTTACTAGTGGAGTGGTGGAGACGTAAAAGAGTTTAAAATTATTACACTTCAACGCGTCGCTAGGCCTTCGTATACATATGAGTTTCCCAAAATTCCCCAAAGTTGTATTTAACATAGGATCATTGAGACAAATATTGGTTGTATTTTGCATATAACATTCGGGTCAAATGAAACAAACTCAGGATTTAGACACTTTTCAATTGAAAATTCGTTTGACTTTGTTAAATCGGTTTATGAATAAATGATAGAACAGAGCAATTTACCTGACATTTTGTTGTAGTGTCAATTTACGTTAAAATTCCAATAGTTCGGACTTACAGGCCTTAGGCGTGGCATAGGATCAGTAATCACGGATAATGACGGAAAGAAGAGGAACAATAAGTCAAACATAAAATAGACGAACCTAGTAATGAATATGATGGACGAAAGCTCATCAAGTTCTCACCCGAAACGAAGGAGGAAGTCTCGTGGACAGCATCAACATGAATATCGTATAAAAGCCAAACGGCTGCAGTACAAAGAGATTCATCTGTCCTCATCTGATGAGATCGACCAACGAATCCCTTCTTACTGCACGTTCATCCAAAATGAATGTCCCCCTAATAATTTACAGCACTACTTAATTCCTGCAAGTAACAACATCTTATCCAATGGAACAAATATTCACCCTATTGGTTTAAGGTGAACTGACTTACTTTGTCTTGGGGGTAATTTATGCCTACATTCATTGGAGTCAGGGCCGTTACCCTTTGAAAATCACACTTAGGTCTTGAGTCACAATCTAGCCCTGATAATAACTCCACTAGAGACACAAGTTATAGCAAAATGTTGTGGCTGTAGCATGTACGTTCGCCACTTTTACATACAGATTGCAAAAGTGAGGCTCCATTGGAATGCTCGGAAGAAATTAATAAAATTATTAAATCATAAATTCACTCTATTTCATTGCTGTGTAGCTCAAAGTCACAATTGCAGTTGAATGGTTACACTGAGGAAAGTACAACAATAGTACCTAGACTTATGTATTTGGTTGAAGGAATGATATCATTAGTTCTATAAATCAAGTAAGAAAACCTTATGTTCATTAAGTTCTTATATCTCCCTAAGCGGTTTTATATAGCCTATGCGGAATTCAATGGAAACTTCAGCGCTACTCATATCATTGTGGGTAAATTCTACTACCGATACCTCTTCACGTTAAACGAAATAGGGTGAATATAATTAATAGAGAAGAGTTTTACTAATTGCGTCATTTGTAGGAAATGTATGAAGAAAAAATTGGGTTTCCAAGACTCACTTTGTCATTTATTGTGGCATGATTATTCATTTCGAAGGAACGGTTGGTTGTATGCTATTCATGAGCCACCTGATGCCGAAGTTTTGAGTTGCACGAAGAACTCGACTCATAAGAGAAGTCGCATTCAGTTGTCATAACACGATAAGAAACGTATCCAAATTGGCAACAGTCGGTTGCCTGATAAATGTAAATAATCGTAAAACCGAGGGCAATTCCGTAAAGCGAGTCATTCTAAAATCCCTCTTTTAGGTTTAGAGTGGAATGAGGCTGTCGTTGCCTTGCAGTTTATGTCTATCATCTACAACAGCAGCGTCACCCTCGTATCACTCAACTGGTACCTGCGTTCCTCTGAATCTGTGGCTCGATTAAGGCTGGGCTAGTTGGTGCCACAATAATGTTGAATAGAATTTCAATTCGAATGAAGGTTCATGCAGAATAGATTCGAAGGGCGATCTTTTCAGAATTCGACAGCTGAATCGCGTTGTAGTGACAACGTTTCGCTTAATACGAAGTTCAGGTTGATGCAGTCCACAAGACATCCTCCCCAGATTAAGGGAAAACAGGCCGAGTTTTTTGAAGATATGAAGACCAAGATGGTGTGGTCCTCGGTATGGTCGCACTCTCCTTTCGATTTATAGAAGTAGGTTGACCTTGTCTTCGCAAATTGGTCTTGTCGTCAGGGGGATTTCGTTGAACGCACCTTGTACTAAGTCCGCTGATCTGGTAGTCATCATAATTCTCAGCATCAGAAAGTGGACTTGGTACATTCTTAGACGTTTTGCCGGCATCGTAGTCGGCATCATCAGTGAGTCTTATCATTCTCCCCACCAAGCTATGAACTCTTCAAGGGGACAAGTGAAATCAATCGTTTGACCAACTTTCTGTCGAGACGTTTATGCTATCACGACACATTATAACTCCGCCATGCAGCCAGTACAATGTACTAAAGGTGAATGGGTATATGAACAGTAAATCGTGAGAGCTTCTCATTTTATTGTAGAAAAACTCAAATATCTGTCCTCAAGTAATCTAGAATTATTCAAGATCTCTTTCAAAGTTGACCTATATTCTGGAATCCTACCAACATCCAATATGAATAGCATCTTCGCTTTAACGATGAGCATGCCATACTATTAAAAATCGTATTTTTCTGAGTGAATATATTATATAGAATCATATAATTGTTTCTAACTCTTTGAAAAAACTTAGTAGCGGTTTTAAAATATTAAAATCTTTTCTCAACTTCTTGGCACAATGTAAGGATAATCCAAAACTCCAAAACATCATCGATTTATAATAAACAAACCAATGCAGTACAGCATACAAAGGGTTGCTAATTAGACACAAGGGAAATTTTCTCAAAGCGACAGATCGAGATTAATGCCAGTTCGTATGTTCCGTAGTTCGATTTAGTGCCAGTTATAAATTGATACCAAACCACATGTTATACGAACCACAATACAGTTGGTAGTATTCAAGACTGCATAGCGGTGGAGCAGAGACATCAGTTATTGTTAGACTGTTGCTGATTGTCACGCCGTCCATATTTATATGTACACTAAACTTTATTTACAATTATACCTGACGTGCCCTTAGTAAATATTGACAAGGGAAAAATGGTAAAG